GCCGAGGGGAGAGGATTGCTTGAGCCCACAGGTTCGAGACCTGCCTGGGCAACTTGGTGAGACCGCACCTCTACAATAAATCAATAAATTAGCCAGGCGTGGTGGTGCGTGCCTGTAGTTGCAGCTCCTTGGAAGGCTGAGGTGGAAGGATCGCCGGAGCCCAGCAGGTCGAGGCTGCGGTGGCCGGGAGCGGCCACTGCACTCCAGCCTGGGCGACAGAGTGAGACTCCAATTCAAAAAAAGAAAAGAAAAAGGAAAATGAATGAAAATAAAATAAAGAAGGGCTTCCTCTCTCTGACCCGACATCCTGTCAGGCCACCCAGGAGGACGTCTTCTGTTCGGAAATCTGCCGGGAGACACGGTTCTCAGAGCCGATCTCCAGGAGCGGGTGGGTGCCGGCTCCCGGGGACAGGTTGTTTCAGAATCCGCCGACATCCCCAGCCGTTCTGGTCCTGATGCTGCGGCCGGCGGCGGGAGATGCAGGCGCGCGCCCCCTGGCGGCCGCTGGTGGAAGCGCTCCGGCTCCCCTTGGCCGCGGGTCGCATCCTCCCTGGTGTGTGGTCTGCGCTCCTTTTGCAAGACGGGGACACTAACTTAGCTTTGGCTTCTTTCCTTCCTTTTCTTTCTCTCTGTCTTTCTCTCTCTCTTTCTTTCTTTCTTTTTTTTTTTTGAGTTGTAGTCTCACTCTGTCGCCCAGGCTGGAGTGCAGCGGCCGCTCCCGGCCACCGCAGCCTGGACCTGCTAGACTCCGGCGATACTTCTGCAGCAGCCTTCCAAGTAGCTGGAACTACAGGCATGTGCTACCACGCCCGGCTAATTTTTTTTTTTATTTATTGTAGAGATGAGGTCTCACCAAGTTGCCCAGGTGGGTCTCGAACCTGCGGGCTCAGGCAATCCACTCATCTCAGCCTCCCAAAGACGTGGGATTACAGGCTGAGCCACCAAGCCTGGCTTCTTTCTTTCTTTCTTTAGTCGGAGTCTCACTCTGTTGCCCAGGCTGGAGTGCAGTGCGTGCTCACGACCACCGCAACCTTGACCTGCTGGGCTCAGGGGATCCTTCCACCTCAGCCTTCCGAGTAGCTGGAACTACAGGAGCACGCCACCAAGCCCGGCTCATTTTTTGATTTATTGTAGAGACGAGGTCTCACCAAATAGCCGAGGCTGGTCTCCAACCCCTGGACTCAGGCAATCCTCTCACCTCGGCTTCCCAAAGTGCTGGGATTACAGGTGTAAGCCACTGTGCCCGGCCAGCTTTGAGTTTTCTATTCACCCGGTTTGGGGTAACTTACATCTTTTCCTTTGACACAGGGAAATTCTCAAGCCAGTGGACAAATTATTTCTGCTGGTGGCAACATGGCTTGGGACATTCACTTCTTTGACACATTTATCTGAGGGCTGGTTATTATGTTCCAGTAAAACTGACCGACAGGGTTTCTCCCTCCCTCCTATGGCAAGTGAGGCCAAATTATTCCCCAGGTGGGCCGTCCTGGGCACTGCAGGGTGTGAGCAGCGACCCTAGGCTCCACTCTATGCATGCCAGGAGCACCCACATTTGTGACAGTCACACACATCCCCAGAAATCGCCCTGTGTCCCCTGGGGGCAGAATCACCCCACGTGAGACAGCCCAAGACTCTTATCCCATGACCCTCTGCGCGACGGAGGCCCTAGGAGGCTGCACACACAGAAATCCACATACCAAGGGGGAGGGAGAAGAGGGGAGCTCCGGGAGCTGGGACCCCTGGTCTACACTGCCTGCCCCCTCGGGATTGATTCTGGGGTGCAAGCAGGGAGTGGACTCCATGTTTCCCCCCAAATAATCAATGCAGGGTTTCTTAACCTCAGGACTCAGAACATCTGGGGCCAGACAGTTCTTGGGGTGGCCGTCCTGGGCTCTGCAGGGGGTGAGCAGCGTCTGCTCCCGCACCCCCCAAGAATGACATCCACAGATGTCCTCAGGCATCGCCCAGGGTCTCTGTGGAGGAAAACCACTCCGGACCGGGGAGCCACTGCTTCCACGAAAGAGACACACAGCCTCCTCCTTGTTGTTTTGTGGGCTTAACCCACAGAGTCCAACCCACTCCTGGACCCCCAAGTCATAACCTCCTCGAGATCCAAGTTGGAGTGCTCAATGTGCCCCGAGTGCTCAAGGCGCTCCTGTTTCTAATCCATGTGGGATCGAGCAGTGATTAGCTGTGACACGCTTCTCCTTAAGGCACAGGGATGCCACTCGCTTCTGGGACAAGAGGGTGACAGCTCTCCCTGCACCCTCTTCCCCGCCCCGGTGGTGATTCCAAAGCAGAAAGCTTTGGGACATCTCCTGAACAAGGGGCTGGGCTGCGGGCATGGATGGGAGCGGCTGTGCAGGCTCTTACTGTGAGGGACAGACACGGCGAGAGGTGGCCGGGGGTCATCTGGGAAGTCCCAGGGACATGCTGGTGGCTTTGTCACATAGTTCACGTTCCAGCATCACAATCACCTGGGCTGCTTGAGTAAAATGCAGATCTGGATAAGGTGCAGTGGCTCATGTCTGCATCCCAGCACTTGGGGAGGCTGAGGCAGGAGGATGGCTGGAGGCCTGGAGTCCAACAGCAGCCTGGGCAACATAGCAAGACACCCGCCTCTATTTAAAAAGACATTTTTTAAGAAAATGCAGGCCGGGCACAGTGGCTCACATCCATAATCCCAGCACTTTGAGAGGCCGAGGTGAGAGGATTGTCTGAGCCCACAAGTTTAAGACCAGCCCAGACAACTTGGCAAGACATCTCTACAATTAAAAAAATAAAAAAAGCCAGGTGTGGTGGTGTGTGCCTGTAGTTCCAGCTACTTGGAAGGCTGAGGCAGAAGGATCACCTGAGCCCAGCAGGTCGAGGTTGCAGTGACGAGCATGCCATTGCACTCCAGCCCGGGCGACAGAGTGAGACTCCAACTAAGAAAAAACAAACGCAGACCTGGTTGGGGTTGGCTACACATTAAGGGAGGACACACATGAAAGCTCCTCCATTTTTGGTGGGTTAGAATGACTCGAAGGGCTGGTTCAACACACAAGGGCAGGCCCCAGCCCAGAGCGTCTGATGTCGGTCTGCTGGGCCAGGGCCAGTTTGAAACTCGAGTCCTTACTCTGGGGTCTCTCCCGGGCCCTGTGGGACGTCGGGTGGCATCGTCCTCTGGGCAGGGCAGCCAGGGCACGGCAGGGTGTGAGCAGCGCCTCCGGCTTCCACCCCCGTCGTGACCACTCAGGTGTCCCCAGACGCTGCCCGGTGCGCCCAGGGGCAGGACGGCCACAGGTGAGGTCCGCTGCCTCTGACCCCCTCCGTCCTGTCCACCCATCCTCTCGGGGGAAGCTGCCGACAGGTGACTTAAGGGAGGAGCCTCCCGGTCCAAGGGGTCCTCAGCCGGTCCCTCACACAAGGCTTGGGGTCGGGGACCTGCTCCAGCCGGTCTTGACGCGCACCAGCTGGGTGGCCTCACGCGGGAAGCCCCAGCCTCGGTCCCTCAGCCTCTGAACTGGGTCTACAGTGCCATCACTGGCCTGCTGGCCATAGGACCGAGTCCTTGGAGAGCTTGGGGGACGTCCATTTTTTTTTTTTTGCTGTCTAGTCCACAGCAGAGTCCCAGCAGCCCCGAGCTGAGCCCCTCCCTCCACCTGGGGCTATCACTGGTGGCTCCTCGGACTACAGAACAGAGCATCTGTGCAAGGTCAGACCAGAAAAGCGATACCCCATCATGGCACTGCTCTGCCTCCAAGAACCAAGCAGTCTGACGCGGCTCCCAGGTGACGTCTGCACAAGGAGGGGGCTGGGAAGGAGGCAGCAGGGCCCAGAGGCGACAGCCCAGTCCCGTCCGTGAGCCCCAACGCCGTGAGTGCAGGTTCCAGGCATCGAGCGACCCACGGCCTCAGCGCCAGGGTTCCCGGAGTTGGGACGAGCCGGCGGCACACCCCGAGGTCGACACGAGCCAGACAGAGGTCACGACGTCTATTTATTCCCACACGCCACGCGCTGCCCACAGCTGGAGGCATGCACACCTCGCAGCCGTGAGGGCTGCAGGGCCCATGGCGGTCCTGCTTCCTACTGTTGCCTATGACCCACGCCCCGTGTCTACCTCGCGGATGGCCAGGACCGCCAGGGAGCCTCCCGCTGGCAGGACGGCTGCAGGGACCGCGGTCCCAGCACCTCCCTCCCCACCCCAGGACGGGATGTGGCCACACTGCCGGTCCTCTGGCCCTGCCCTGGCTGGACGCGGCTTGGGGGCTGTCTCAGGGCCAAGGTGGGTGGCACCAGAGCCTTGCCAGCCCCCGCGTGGACAGGAGAGGCGAGCTCACCGGACACCCCAGGCCTGTCCACACCTGGAGGCAGAAGGACAACAGGATGACACGCACAGACAGGCCGGTCGCTCTCCCCTCTGCCCAGGCTGGCATGCCCGGGACAAGGTCATGCTCCTTGTGGCAGGATGACCGCCTGAGAACTGGAAGCCGAGGCGGGAGGAAACGAAATGCGCGTCCACACGCTCCACTGGAAGAAAAGTCCCAGTAGCTGGTTCTGTGTGCCAGGACGGCCCGGCCACCGAGGCTCAGGTGTCTGCAGCCCAAGAGTCCTCACGAAGACACGCAAGGCATGGGCATGAGGGCACCAGGGCTGCCGCTGGCAGTGAGCTCTGGTGGGCAGGCACGCGGCCAGGCAGTCAACTCTGAAGGTGGCTTCTCATGGGACGGGAAAGTTCTAGAAGACACACCCGGGAGGGCCGGGGAGGGGCTGAAGGGCTCCTGGAGCCACGGGCGTCTCGGCGGGCTCCACATGACCCCTGCTGCCACTCCAGGGCGAGAAGGGCCCGGATTCTAGAAGACACTGCCGCGTCCAGGCTCTCCGGGCAGAGGGGCCGGTGCTGGTCTGCACACAGCTTGCTGGCTCTTGTTTCGAGAAGGGTCGGGTATACAGAGTCCAAAAGGGGGGAAGCCAAGAAAAAGGGGGGTCCGTCGAGACATGCAGCTCCAATCTCTCTCTTTTCTCTCCAGGGCAGTCCAACGGGAGGGAATGAATGGCAGCTCGCGAGAGGCTGTCGGCAGGGAAGGGCACCGTCGTGCCAGAACGCTGGGGAGACAGGCAGGAAGGCGGTCAGGGCCGGAGGGAGGTGGTCGGAGTCGGCGACAGCCCAGGCCACAGCACACCCCGGGCCGGGCCGGGTGGGCCGGCTGGCCTGGAGGCATGGGCCGCAGCTTCAAATGCATGCCAGTGTCCGCTGCACTGGCCACAACTGTGACACAGGGTGGCTGCATGTGGCTGGGGGCGGTGGTGTGAATGCCAGGAGGGAACACAGCCTACAGCCTTATCCAGAAGGTTCTAGCAATGTGGAGAGAGTACTTCAGGTATACAGTTACAACAGTGTAAAACTGACCTCGCCTACATTATAAAAAAAAAAAAAAAAGTAAACAAATAAAAGCTTATTAATAAGGAGAAGAAAAAAAGACCAAAAAAAAAAAAAAAAAACAGGGGCCGAATATTAATAATGTTCATTGTTCTGGGTGGAAAAGTAAGGTGAATTTTGCTTTCTAATGCTTCTGTCCTTTAAACTCTAACCACTGGGCTGGGTGGCTCAAGCCTATAACCCTGGCACTTTGAGGGGCAGAGGCAAGAGGATTGCCTGAGCCTGTGGGTTCTAGACCAGCCTGGGCATCATAGTGAGACCTTATCTCTACAATAAATAAAAAAATTAGCTGGGCTCAGTGGCTCAGCCTGTAATCCCGCACTTTGGGAGGCTGAGGTGAGTGGATTGCCTGGGTCCGCGGGTTCGAGACCTGCCTGGGCAACTTGGCGAAACCTCATCTTTACAATAAATCAAAAAATCAGCCGGGCGTGGTAGCGCATGCCTGTAATTCCGGCTACTCGGAAGGCTGAGGTGGAAGGATCGCTGGAGCCCAGCAGGTCGAGGCTGCGGTGGCTGGGAGTGGCCACTGCACTCCAGACTGGGTGACAGAGTGACTCCAACTCAAAAAAAAAAAAAAAAAAATTAGGCCAGGATCAGTGGCTCAGCCTATAATCCCAGCTCTTTGGGAAGCCAAGGCAAGAGAACTGCCCAAGCCCAGGGGTTTGTGACCAGCCCGGGCAACCTGGCGAGACCTTGTCTCTACAATAAATCAAAAATCAGCCAGGTGTGGTAGTGTGTGCCTGTAGTTCCGGCCACTTGGAAGACAGGTGGAATGATCGCCCGAGTCCAGCAGCCACTGCACTCCAGCCTGGGAAAGGGAGTGAGATACCAACTCAAAAAACAAAAACAAAGTCACTAGGCAGGCATGGTGGTGCATGCCTGTAGTTCCAGCTACTTGGAAGGCTGAGGCAGGAGGATCGCCGGAGCCCAGCAGGTCGAGGCTGCAGTGGCTGGGAGCGGCCACTGCACTCCAGTCTGGGCAACAGAGCGACTCCAACTCAAAACAAAAAACAGATGAAATAAAATTCTCTAATCACGGTTTTAAAAAACAACGAAAAAGTGTATTTGTGAAGGGGAACAACAAAATAAAGAACAAGGTTGCATCAAAGCAGAATGTCATCATCTTCTGGGGAGGCCACAGAGCCACCTGCTACCTGCACCAGGGAGCTGGTGTCAGGGGAGTTGAGGAACCTCTGGGGACAGAGAACAAGCCAGCCACGGGCCCCGGAACCTACTGGGGGACCTGGGTATAGTTTAATGCAATTGTAAATGTAACACCTGCCCACAGTAAGAAAACACCACCAACAAAAACCCCCAGAAAACGCAGGCAGCTGGGCACTGTAGCTCACGCCTGTAATCCCAGCGCTATGGGAAGACTGCTTGAAGCCAGGAGTTTGAGACCAATCTGGGCAACATAACAAGACCCCGATTCTACCAAAAAAAAAAAAAAATAGCCTAGTGTGGTGGCATGCACCTGTAAGCCCAGCTACTTAGGAGGCTGAGGCAGAAAGATCGCCTGAGCCCAGGAGGTCAAGGCTGTGGGGAGCTGTGACCCTGCCACTGCATGCCAGCCCGGGTGACAGAGTGAGACCCTGTCTCTTAAAAAAAACTCCACAACTAACACTGGGCATGCCGTGAAAGCCAGTGCTTGGCCCGTGTCCCCCGGCACTCGGGTAGCCTCCCTCCAGTCCCCCGGCGGCTGCTGGACATTTGTGTCTAGTACGAGCAGCACCACGCAGGAGTCACCTGCGGATCCCGGACACCACTGGGCCGGAGAACCGGGGCCCAACCCCAGGCCAGACGGGCATCGGGCAGGGGAGGAGCTGGCGGGCCTCCTCGTGACCTGAGCCAGCAGCTGGCCCCGGAGCCTGCACGTGACCCCACCGGGCTCGCAGGCCAGCGGCCATGGCCCGGCACTCACAGGCTCACTCTTGCTGCTCGTCCTGGCTGGCGCTGGGCGTCCGGCTCCGGATCTGGCTCCGGAGTTGCTCGATCAGCTCGGGGTTCTGCTGCTGCATCTGCTGCGCGAACTGCTGACCCCTGCGGAGACGGGACAGTCGTCCACCGCTGGGCCCCTCGGCCTCTGCCCGGGCCCCTGCCAGTCCCCCCGGAGCCCGCCTCCCCCCCCGGCCCCGCCTGGCCTCCCAGAGGCCCACTTACGCCTGGATGAGGCTGGCCAGGTCGTTCTGCGAAGGGCTGGTGCCGGGGGTTGCCAAGGGGTTGTGCCCGCCCGAAATCATCCCGGACATGCTATGGGAGAGATGTGACTCGCATCCAGACGGCCCTCCTCCCCGCCCTGGGAGACTCCCCTAGCCAGCCCGCCCCCGCCTCGGTGGTAGAGTCTCGACCGTTCTCAAGCGGGTGCGATTCTGCCCCCCGGGCACACTGGGCGACGCCTGGGGACATCTGTGGTGTCAGGACTAGGGGCGCTCTGGGTGTGGAGGGGGCGGGGCCAGGGACACCGCTCGGTGCCCTGCGATGCCCAGGATGCCCAACCCAGAGAAGGGTCCGGCCCCCCACCCGGACAGTGCTGTGGCTGGAAACTGCTTCAAGCCTTGGCCGTGAACACAGCCGGCAGCTCCCCTGCAGGTTACACAGTTCCCACGTGACCAGCCGTTCCACTCCCAAGGACACTGAAGCCAGGGCCTCAAAAGCCTGAGCCCAACATTCACAGCAGCACAATTCACAACGGCCCCAAGGTGGAGACAGCCCATGTGTCCACGGACAGACACAGCACGACCCAGCCACTCGTGGACACAGCACAGCCATGAGCAGGAAGGGGGCTGGCACAGGCAACAGTGTCGCTGGACCTTGAGGCCATTACACTCCGTGACACCCAAACACGGAAGGACACATGGGGTGTGACGCCATTTCTGTGAAGAGTCCAGAATGGGCCGGTCCACGGAGACAGGACGGAGATTCGTGGGTGCTGGGGCTGGGGGTGTGGGAGCAACAGCAGATGGGGATGGCGCTTCCTTTTGGGGTGATGAGAGTGTTTTGGTACCAGATGGTGGTGACAGTAGCAAGACAATGTGAATGTCCAAAATGCCACTAGGTGGACACTTGGAAACGGCTATTTTTAAGTCAGGTGCATTTTACAGCAATAAAAAGAAAGTTAACTGCAAGAAGGTACAGAGGAGACTGGCGTCACTTACAGCTGGTGAACCTGGGGATTGTTCATTAGGTTCGATGCCTAAGAACAAAGAACAGACGCATCAGAGGAAGCGGATTCCAACGCAGGATCTTCTGCGACGGGAAATCTTGGCTCCGAGACCCTCACACGCCACCCGCCACCGATACCCGGGCGCCAGGCCCTCCTCCCCCTCCTCCCATCTGGCTCCTGCTCAAGAGGTGGGACCCTCACACTGTGCCACCCAAATCCTGTGTGGACGCCTGTTTTAAGAAAGACAGCTGGCTGGGTGCGATGGCTCATGCCTGTAATCCTAGCACTCCGAGGGTCCTGGCTGTGGAACCTGCCACCGAAGGATATCCCTTTCACAGCACGAGCACCCTGGTGTCAGGAGGTGGCACCTGTGCCCTGGCGCTCTGGGGTCTCGTCCGGCCCTTGGGAAGCAGATGTGGTCATATTGTCACCAGCCTGTGGGGAAGCCAAGCTGGCGGGGGAGGGTAGTGATTTCTGGGCTATTTGGCCAGGAGAGGTGGGATTTAGTTCTGTGGGTTCAGTGGTGATGGGCCTCACTTGGGACACGGGACATCGGCATCTGGGACATCTTTGTTTTTCGTTCTGTCGAGACGAGGTCTAGCTACGTTGCCCAGGCTGGTTCTGAACTCCTGTCCTCAAGCCATCCTCCCACCTCAGCCTCCCAAAGTGCTGGGATGGTGAGAGCCCCCGTGCCCGCCCTGGGACATGTTTTTATCGTTACCACCGAGGGTGTGCTCCGGGATGAGGGGGTGGAGGCAGGGATACTGCTCAGCACCCGACAGACCCAGGGATGGGCCCACAGTAAGAACAGTCTGGTCCCAAAGGCTGATGGCACCAAGCTCAGGACTGATCTATCCCATGGCGACAAAGCAGAGGATACAGGCGCAGACTGGCGGGGCCGGGGAGGCCTTACCATGCTCATGAAGCCGGGGTTGTTCAGCAGGCCGGCGAGGTCGAAGCTACCCAGGCCTCCCGTCTGGGGATGAGAAGGGCAGTGAGTGGACCCGACACAGGGCCATGGTGGCTCCAGGAAGGGAGAGAAAACGGCCCCCCAGGGTTCTGTTAACCCCACATCCAGAGGTGTTTCAGACCCCATGGCGTGAACCGTGGCAGAAGCACTTTGCGCAAAGCACAATTACTACTCACACCTTTTGTTTTGTTTTCTGACACCCTGACGTCTCGGGGTCATGTTGACCCGGAGAGACGGCCCTTATACCAGGGACAGTCAATCCCTAGAGACAGCAAGCAACTGGCCCAGCACGAGTGCTAACTCACCACCCAGAGCCTGTCCCACCCTCCCCTAGGCCACGGTCCACTAGCCCCTGTCACCCAGGGCCCACCCTGTGCCAGAGCCTGCCGCAGGGTTCAGCCAACCCCAGCCGACTCCGGGGCTCACCCACAGAAGCCACAGGGAGGCCCTGCCACATGACCCTTGCCCTGTCCCACACCGACCCAGGCGCTCCCTGGGGGGACCTGTGGCTTCCTGTTCCCGAGAAGCTGTGGGTGTGAATGTCCACACCTGGTGTCTTAGCCAGCCCGAGGCCCTCACACCATGCAGGACGAACAGGTGAGAGGCTTGCAGCCCCCCCCCGGCACCCACCCCCGCGACCCTGCATGCTCACTCTCCTCCACTCACGGGACTCGGCGCCTCCCGCAGCTTCAGCTCCGCGATCTTGAGATTGGACTTGTACGTCTCGTTGTCGGGGTCCAGCTCCAGGGCCTTCCTGTAGTAGGCCACGGCCTCCGCGTGCTTGTTCAGGCTGGAGAGCGCCAGACTGGGGGAGACACCAGGTGGCCCCTCGCAGCCACCCTACCCCCCAGCTCCTCCCCAAGCCCACGTCCCCACGGGCCCCTGCCACCCGTGGCCCCTGGGACTGTTGCCTGGCGCCGGGTGGGGCAGACCCGAGCGGCCAGCTGGCGACATGGGGGATCACGCAGACTCTGGAGAGCCTGTGTCAGGACGGGAGCGGGCTGGGGCTGGAGAGTCTGCTACGGGCACGGGACGTGGGAGGCGGAAGGGAGGGATGCCAGGGGACACGGGTCCATGGGGCGCCCTTCCACCCACCAGCGCCCCCGCACTCACCCCATCCTGCCGTAGGCCTTGCTGTAGGCCGGGTCTATGCAGATGGCACGCTCGCAGTCCCGCACAGCCCCCGAGTAGTTCCCGAGCTTGCTGTAGGCCGCGGCCCTGGGGGAAGGGCAGGGCGGCCCTCACCAGCAGCCCACCGTGCCGGCAGCCCTGGGCGGGGAGCTGGGGTCTGCGCCCCTCAGCTGTCTGGAGGGTGGCCTGCGTGTGAGCCTCGGTCTCCCGTCTGTGAAACGGGGCCCATGTGGGGCTGCTGAGAGGCACGGCCAACGAGAGGCTCTTAGGTGACACAAGCGCAGAGCACCAAGGGCCACGCGGAACGGCCACTCGGGATTTGGGCCGCAAGGGACCCGGGAGCCGCAGCGCCAACACTCAGCTCCTCACGGTCAACGGGACGCGGATCACTTCAAAGTGGCTCAGACCCACTGCACGGCCCCCGTCGGCGCGGCCCACCTACGACGTGCGAATCATTCTCGTGCCGTCTTAGTGTTTGGTGTTTTGCTTTACGTCTTTTTTTCCCTTTACATTTGTCATTTTCCAAGTACAGAGCAGTCACCAGGCTGGGGCGGGGCGGCCCACCCAACCAGCACGCAGACGACTGCCACGCACACCACCCTGCACACAGACGATTCTCACAGGCCCCCACGGGCCAACAAAGCCCTCAAGCACGGCCCTCCACGCCGCGAGGCTCCAACAGTTCCTCGGCTCATCCTTCAAAGGAGAGCCTGACGCAGCCACCCCGAGCAACGCCGTGAGTGCATGCCTGAGACGTTCTCCAGATTCTGGATTATCTTCTATTTCATTGTTATTTTTAGAGCCAGGGTCTTGCTCTGCGGCCCAGGCTGGAGTACAATGGTGTAACCATCACTCGCTGCAGCCTCCAACTCCCAGGCTCAAGCAATCCTCCCTCCTCAGCCTCCCGAGTAGCTGGGACCACAGGCACGCACCACCCCCTCTGGTTAACTTTTTAATTTTTCACAGAGACAAGGTCTTGCTATGTTGCCCAGGCTGGACTTGAACTGCTGGCTTCAAGTGATCCTCCTGCCAGGGCCTCTCAAAGTGCTGGGGTGACAGGCGTGAGCCACCTGGCTCTGCTGAGTCACCTGATTAAAATGTGTGTCAGTGGTCCTTGACCCCCTCTGGCCGCCTGACACCTGCTCCCAGGCTGGAACTGCTGGTAAACAGTCCCTCGATGACGCAGAAACCACTCCTGTCCCTGGTCTTGCTGGGAGTCTGTGCCACCACCCCACCCTGGACAGGCCCCTGGTCAGTACCTGTTGCAGAAATAGACAGCGTTGGCCGGGTTGAGCTCGATGGCTTTTCCGTAGAAGTGCACAGCAGCTTCAAAATTCTCCACCTTCATCTGCTCGTTTCCTAGAGAGAGGAAAACTGCGTGTCCAGGACGTCCCCAGACCCACGGGGCCCGGATGGTGCCATTCTGGGCTGGTGCTCAGAGAGTTCGAGTCCTGAGCTCTCGCCTCTGCCCCAGACAAGGGCAGTGGGCCTGGCCTGCTCCGCTCTGCGACACCAGTTGTCACTGCCTGGCGGCGACCCCTGAGAACAAGTCTCAATATGCTCCTCAGCCCAGGGGTCGGCACCGTTGCTTTTGCTTTCTCCTTTGGAAGCAGCCCTGGCAGAGGCCATGTGTCGAGACACACCAGCAATGCCTCTGCTGGCCTGTAGCCTCTCCAAGGCATGGGTCCTCGCTGGCAGGAAGGGGGCCTGGCTGTCACCTCAGAAACAGCCGAGCGCTTGACATCAGAATCCCGAGCTCATGCTCCCACTCCAGGCCCCAGTCAGGGAGGCAGAGGGGGGAGATGGGCTCTGTGTTTCTGAGAATTTCACTGAGTTATAACGGACGGACCACTGAGTTCACCACTTAAAAGCCAATTCAGTGGTTCTTTTTTTTTTTTTTGAGTTGGAGTCT